TTCAATTACGATGCGTTGTCGACTATATGACTAAAGTTCCTATGATTGTAATTCGAACTGTATTCAAATAGACGAGTCTGAAATGGCTATTGATCGTTTTGATTACAGCCTCGAGGCCAGATATCAAAGTACTGTAATAAATTCAAAGAGAATAGAAATGTTTCCATTATCGAGGTGACTTGGGGATTTAAATAAGAGCGGAATCTCTTTTAAATTTAAAAAATCGTTGAGATATTCGTAGAATAACACTTTTATTTGTAAGATAAGTTTAATTGTTATTTAATAAACTGCAATTCTTATATAATAATTATTTTAATCTTGTAATTTCCAGTCAATAATGTACATAAGAAAATGTATATTATATATGTAGTCTTTACATTTACTTTTACACTTTACGTATCTACATTACCACCTGCATAAACAAAACATTAACGATACCATTAAAATAAAACTAAATTCATTACGCACTATTATTATACATCAATGGAGCGAATTTATAAAGACAAAAACATTTGCTGAAGTGGCGCAATCGATCACCAGCAGACGCTCATTTGTGACACCTCTGACCACAGACTGGGCGTGGGCGGAGCATTTAATGTATGATCTATACCGCTTTACTGCACAAACAGCGGGACACCAAGATATCTCAAAATATGCTATAGCTTAACAAATATAAGCTTTCTTTATAATGGGTATACTTAATCAGTTTATCCATGTTCAGATCGTTTCAAAGTATTGTCCATGTTATTATTACTCAGGTGACGTATTTTAAATCAAACACTTTACTGTTTATACATTTTGTGAAAAAATTTATTAATGCCAAAAATGGGCGGGTTGGGCGGGCTTTTACCCGGCATCTATATTGATCCGTATTACCACTCTACGAGTATAGTATTAATTTTTTGTCATGAACGGTGTGGATTTCGGTTCAAATCCCCCCTTTTCAATTTAAATAGATATTTATTTATATAATGCCAACACGTGTGAAAAAATAATAACGTTTTCAAAGAAAATACATTTGTAAATGTGATTTATTACACTACATATAACGTGTCGGATTCTTTGCAGCAGACGAAACTTGGGGCCCCTTAGTCGAATCAACATCTAAATCATTTAAAATTTCCCTTAAAACCTTTAAGGATTTATTACATTATATAATATTAGTGTTCAAGTGTGTATGTAAGTTGCACTTCGTTTTGTAATTTACTTTTGCGTAGTTGCATTTGGGGCTTCTTAATAAAGGATTTAGCAAAATCTAGATCAATTTTAACTCTATATATAAATATATCTATTCAAAATAAACATTTACATAAGTGGTAAGTAAATGCAATGAAACGCTTACAATAATATACCTACAACTGCCTCCTAATATTTTGACTATTTAAAACATTAAAGCTAAAGCAATTAAAAAGTAACACATAAAGCTAAAACACATTAAGCGAAATGTGTATGTAAATACTTGGTCCAATTCAAAAACTCAGTAAATTGCTTATTTTCACATGAACATTATAACTTTTATACAGTACGCAGGCAGTGCCGGGTGTGAGGTTCGCCTGCGACATAGATTCATTAAATTATTATTTAAATACCTTTCGTAGCTCTTTTATAAATACCTACTTGTAACTTCAGGCTCATTAATCGTGTTTCACATAAGCTTCAGGAAGTAGGTTGTCTTGAAATGTACAAGGGCCTTCGTTGGTTGGTACTTTAACAAACCACAAGAGGAAACACGAGATCTATGGAGGGTCGCACGGAAGAGGGTACCCACTTTGGCCTCGTATCCGATGAGTTCTTGGTTTCCGATTGTACGTAATCGCCTGCTATCTTACTGGAACGAAACCTTTATAAGACAAGTATTAACAGTTAATAAAAAAATATATGCACATTAGAGTCAATTTTGACGGTTGTTTTTATAATATCTATGTATGGATAATAAACAACGAGTTACGGGTTCGATTCCCACCCATTCAACATAATATCGATAAATTTTTAAATATTCTGAAACGTAATTAACTCGATGTTAAAGGTAGTAGTTATATGTCAAAGGAAAGGTGGTAGTTATATCGTTGAAAAGCCGTAAAGTTCCATCAGGTCGCGGTCTAAGTCTAGATTTCTGAATATCCAAAGCTTTTGAGTCGGGATCTTAGTTCGACAAATCATGTTAAAATAATATGGCTGGGGTCACCTATCAAGTGAACCACTTTCTTGTCTAGCGTCCTCAAACAAAAAAAAAACACAATATTAATGTTCAAAGCGTATAGTATAGGACCGTTGACAATTACAATAGCTCAGTTGGTAGAATAAGAGCACGATGCACCGTTCGTATGGGGTTTGAGTTCCAATATATATATATATATATATATATATATATCTATATATACATATATACATATATAATATTTTTATAATAATCTACGTCAATAAAGTTGTATTTGTAACTAATCTTGCATATAGCTATAGACCCACTTCTGTAGTTATCAGAAAAGTTTTATTTCTTTTATCAAATCCATTGTTGGGTTATGGTAGTGTGGAATAATATGTCTTGAAATTGCTAACACGTGAATGTGTAGTGAGCGATAATATTTTTGTGTTTTGAATACATTACGAGTAATTAGCTTATATCAATTCAAAAGTGAACATTAATTGCTTTTTATTTCTGTCTTGTACTTTTCAAGGGTAACTAAAACTAAATATTTTGCATATAAATGCGGTTTTTAGATTTCTTAACTAGCCTGTTTGTTCAATGATTGCAGGTATGGTTAAATCAACGGGTCGTGAGTTCGATTTCCATCGGTCGCCATCTGTAATTTTATTTCCAAATTATACGTACGTCTTTTGAAAAGTCAGCCCGTAGCGTTAATACTTTTTCGAACTGAATAAATTAGAATATGCCTTTCTTATTTATACAACAACAACAAGACAATCGTTGAAATAATGGAAAGTATAAATGACAGACTACCAGGTTCGCAGCGATAACCAAGAGCAATCTGGCGAGGCGGGTTAATTGAGAGAACCCGCGCTCTGTTACTAGAGCAATCTTACTTTAGATTTACTGTAATGTCTTTGGTGGAAACTACCCATTAGCTTTTCCCAAATAATGTGAACAGAAAATTTGTGATAGCATTAATAGTACGTACTGTAATTAAAATTGCGAAAGGTCTTTTTGAAAAGAATGTTTTTTTAATAATTCTTAAAAAAAATAACTCTCGATCATCCTTTGATGATGTTGAACACAATTCGAAACATGGCGCGCGCTTCACGCCCCGTTAGATTTTCTCGTAAATTGCTCTGACGAAAAATTGACAGTGCACCATCGTGTCCTGTCTGCTGCCTCGATGTGGCCTGCTATCAATCACCCCGACGTCGAAGCTACTTTTCAAACCTTAATAAATCACGCTAACGCCAATATACGGCATTATTGGATACGGCTGTTCTTTAACTCTACTCATTTTTAACTTAACCGTATCATGATATTTTTTATATAGTTTTAAAAATATATTCAGATTCCGGTTTAATAATTATGTGATTAATAAATAAAACACTTTAACCGTTTAAAACGCGAAATATATATTTTTTATTTTATAGTTAAACTTACTTACACACTAATTTTAATTCACGGTATGATGTTTAGGATGCTTGCAATAGCCGTGGTCACAGGGGGATATGTGATTACATTATAGCTTGGCACAGCCTCAAATATATTTAACTAAAATGTTTATAAAGATAATGCAAGCTATATATTACATTATCTTATAAATATAGTTACAATAACAACTTGTGTTCTTACAACATATTAAATTGTGTTACTGTACAATCTACAAAAACTATTATAATTTCTGATTCTTGGCAGCATTAGCTCAGCCTTAAAAAATCCCAAAATTTCAATAAGGTTAACATAACTTTATTAAAAGACGGCCGTCACGCTGTAATTTGGATCTCGTTGAAAATTAATTTTCCGCTTCCGTCCTGGGCACTGCTCTGGATCTCTGTAAAAAGCGAAATTGATTATGCTGGTCAGCTGATTTATCTTCGTCGTTAATTTTAAACTCGCTTTCAACGTTACATTCGAAACAAGGCCTTACGCACTTCAAGTCAGTCAATTTAACATTTCCCTAGGACCTAAATTGTCATAATGTCTTATTTATTCTTATCTCCTCTAAATAAATGTAAAATCAATCATATACTTGTAAGGAATATGGCCGAACATTATTACATTGCTAAATGTGTTTTGTAATAAAATTGGATAACCTCTAACCCATTCTATGTATGTCACTCTTATAATTAGTTGTAGGTTGATTAATTTGTTTTTTTTTTCTATACTGTAAGCGTTAATAATAAAATTTTAAACTACAATAGCAATCGCTACGTCGAGTGTTAATAATTAATTTAAATTAAAGACTTTAACGGTGCAAAACGCGATTTATTTATTAGGTAAACTTATTTGGAAATTATTTTAACTACGACCCGACGTTTCGGATGCTTTGCAGCAGGCGTGGTCACGGGGACAGTGACAAATAAGTTTACCTAATATTTATCGCGTTTTAAACCGTTACAATTATTTCTTTAAACGTGTACTATTCGCGTAAACCACTGACAGTATTTAAAGAATTAATTGTGAACTATTGATACCACTACTATTGATAATACTCAATATCTATGATGATCTAAGAAGATTGATGCTTATCGTTATTGTTTTAATAAAATGTTTATAAAATAATGATCACTCAGATCGGGTAAATAAGTGATACCAACAATACTGAATATCGATACGACATTCGCGTGGCTAAGTCTCTTCACTACACGTTTTTGATAACGTATCGACGCCTTCCCTTATCTTCACGTGAACTCCAAATGAAGATTATATTGGTTTAGACAAATAAGCGAAGCGTTAGAAGTGCTTTATCAGAATTCGCGGTTGGTTGTACGTTGACGCACGTACAGTGCGTGCTGAAATTGAAACGCTATCTAAGTACAGTATTAATTTAGCTGTGTTTTAGAAAATGAAAATGAGAGTGCGCAAGTTACGAATCCTAGTAGGAGTCGGTGCTATATTCTTAGTGACTTTTATGTTTGTGGCGGTCGGCCGGCTCGATGGGTCGAATCAATTGGATCGCGTCACCCGCGACTTACATCAAGGAGGTGAATTCACAAAAACTGTTACTCCAAGCGACAGTAAAATAACCGTCGAAGAGAAACGCTTAAAAGTTGTTGAGGTAACTCTTACACTTCAACCGTAACGATTTAATAATATGACGTATGCGTTCTTTAACAATCAATAATACAATCTAAATAAAACACTGTAACGGTTTAAAACGCGATATATATTATTTTTTACTTGGACGTCAAAGGCATCCTCCATCTTTAGTCTCTCCATGATCGAAACATCCAAATTGTCGGGCCTTAGTTGAAAATAATTGTCAAATAAGTGTAACTAAGATATATCGCGTTTTAAACCGTTAATAAAGTGTATTAGTTAAATATGTACTACTCGCGTAAACTACAAACAGTAGTGACGTTACAGAATAAAATATTAAAAAACACACGAACAATATATAAACAATATTATTGTGGACTGAAGAATCCAAGATTGTTTAACAATGAATATTCGTGTCCGTATTTAGATACCCTATGGCCTATAGTAATGTGATACAGAAGTTTCAATTCAGCTTTATTTTAATTGTTTTTTTTCTGTCAACAACTAAATCATATAAGTGTTAACTGCATTATGATCCAAATGTTATACGTAACAAAAACAAAAAAATCAAAACCTAGCTAATTGATAATGGTGATAATGGTACCTACCCTGTCTACGACAAAAAACAGGGCAATATAACAACATATTTTTAAAATCTAGAACTACGCACGTTTGTCGCAGTACGTTCCATAAATTTTTATACAGAACTTTGCGATACTGGCGTTTCGTAAAGTTTCGTGGCCTAATAATAATGAATGGCTTCGGGAAAAGCACGATATCCTTTCATTAGTACGGTCTTCGTACGGCACCGAGATTAAAAGTTACGCTGCGAGCGTATTGCGTGTCTTATGGAGCTTTTCATGCCTTTCAAACGCTTTTTTTATGAAAGTGGCTCGACTTTGCAAAAGCTGTCGTTATTCATGATGAAGCAGCGGGAAATCAAACGGTTCACTAGTCTTATGCAAGGTGCTGTTCACACTCGTGAAAATACTAATTTAGATTCAGATGATTAACTGTTATGAATCGCAATTCGAAAACTTTTTTAATATTACTTTTACACGTGAATATGTATTTTGAAACATTTAACCTAATTAATTTATACATTATATTTACTATGGCCTACAATCTGTTTTGGGTGCATGTTAGCATTCCAGGTAAAATAAAATAAAAGCGCCTTTTAAGCTCCTCCTAATTTAAGAAACTCAGTGAATTTAAATCTATGTTATCATATAAAAATTTAAACTTATTCTGCGAAATTAATTATTTATGATCATACTTAGCACTTGGTGTTTTTTTTGCTTTGCTGTTAAAACATTCATTCGAGTCTCACTCGCAATTAAATGTAGGCCACTAGTCAGACCTCTCGTTATTTAATAACCACGATGACACTTCAGCTTACATTTTGATGTGTATGCGTTTTTAATTAACTTTAAGTAACAGGTTTGCATAATAAATGGGTTTACTCTACTTCTTTCTGTGGGAAAGGCAAAAATCTTGGCGTGGTACCAAAAATTTACTTGTCAAACAGCATCAACTACAAAAATAATAATCGGTGACGCTAAAATTATAGTAAATGGATGTAGTAAAATAAAGTAATTATTAAAGAACTTTGTGAGCACTTTGTAAATGCCTAAATTGTATGTTTATATTCCTCTGCCCTATATAAAGTGTAAATAATATAGATCAAAACGGACACAGTATTATACTTTTCTTGGAAAATAAAAAAAAAACTAAATCTTGGCACAGTATCCAAATTTATGCTCAAATTTTAAATAGTAAATCTATATAAAAATTCCGCTGCGAATGTAATTATTCAATAAGATTAAAATGTTTCATACAAATTATGTTTTGCTAAAAGTGATGTCTTTTCATTTTTAGATGATGCGTCACGCGTGGAATAACTACAAGCTTTACGCGTGGGGTAAAAACGAGTTGAAGCCGATCTCGAAACGCGCTCATCTCACGAGCGTCTTCGGCGGTGGAGACATGGGCGCCACGATTGTGGACGGTCTGGACACCCTCTACATCATGGGGCTTATGGACGAATTCCGAGAGGGACGAGATTGGATCTCGGAACACTTCCGCATCGGAGACATCGTAAGTAAATTAATTTCCATTTTGTGTAAGTGCGAAGTTCCTTTTACTTTGAATCTACGTAGACACATGATTGTGTCCCTCTTGCTGAGAGGTTTTATCGATAAGTGAGTAGAAGCAATGTAGTGACGCTAAAATTCCTCCTCTGTGGTGGAGGAGATCTATGCCTAGCAAGGGGACATTAACTGGTTAATGTTGCTCTACCTTTTGTGCCCTATATAAATGATAATGATGTGTTTTTACCAAAATTGAACATAGGGCCACTTGTGCTGTTTATTCTAAGCAATAATTTGCAATCATCTCAATTTATTAAAGTTTTAAGCGGGTGGCTGCTTAAAAACAATACCCATATATGTTATAAATATACTATATTTTTCATTTAAAACGCAATATAGCCATGTAGAAACATATTTTATCCTCTTAAGAATGTGGCCGAACATAAACTATTCAAGAGAACTGCATTATCATAATAGCGTCCCGGAGATAAGCACAGCGGACGCGTCTCAATGGCAGTTTTTGTTAGCAGACAGTTTTTGCTATATGCATTCGCACATTGACGTACGGTTTTGCAAACTTTTTTCATTTGCCAAATGCATCGGACTGTACCACGCGAGGCTCGCGCGAGAATAGAAATCCAACAAACGAAAACTTACTTCACAAAGAAGTATCGGAATTGTTCTCTTTTAAATGAATGGGTGGACTGAATGTGGTGGTGAACGGTCGAGGAAATAATGGGTATTTACAGTTCTTAATCTCAATGCAAGACAAATTTATAGAGCTTTAAAAACAAACATTTGTAACCAGATGCAAAATTATCCTTGCGTTTATTAATATCACTGGTTGGTGCCGTTTTTTACTTTTCTGCTGTCAAAATACTAAAGGAGAATGCCCATTTCTGGCCATAGAAACCGACCAGGAAATTGATGTATTACATCAAAGGACCAATGTACTTACATAACAAAATTAGCTAACTTTATTGAATACTAAAAAAGCAATTCATGATTTTTTTTTCTGATTATTGTTGGTGTGATAATTCATGGTCTCGTCGGGAACGTTTTTTCATTAGGAAGGCTTGGTGTACCGACTCCCAGAGGTTTGATACAATTAGAACCACGAAAAACACTTTCTTTAATGTTTAAGAGAAAGACTGTGCCTGAGTGATCAGACTCACTAAACCTCATATAAGAGTAGATTATAAATACTATCCGGAGTATTTATCTCTTTATATTACTTTCTCTACTTATTTATAGTCAAGCGTGTGACAAAGACGCTTCGTGATTTAAAACCCGTACAAACTTTATCGGATTGCTTTGTAGATCGACTTTTTTCTTTCAATGGAACTTGGTGCACCTGCCTTTGAATAGTACCCGAGCACTAGATCATTGAGTTAAAAATAAAAGTTATAAAGGCAATGACGAGTTCTATGTGTATTCTTTTCATTATTTAAAAGTTTTGTATATTAACTATTTAAAATAGCTTAATGGTAGAATTTAAAATGAAGTGTTAGAGGAAGTGGCATAACAGTTTTTAATGGGTTTTAATATTTTTGTAATCGTTAATTGGTTTTCAGTTTAAAACTAACTATTTTTTCAGCTATTTAAATAGCTAGTACGAACATTGGTAGACAGAATAAAAAACATCTGTTTAACGTGTCGTTTATTATAATCTCGTTTTGTTCATATCACAAAATCACAAATTTACTACATATTTGTGATTTTAAATTGTTAATTAAAAATATTTATTGTGTGTTTATTTAAGCCGTGTGTGGAATAACAGCTTAGTTCTGTAGGTGTTAGAATAAAAGTAATAAAACGATTTTTAAAATACCCGAATGGCCGAATATACCTGTTAGATGTTGGATGTAAAAAGGCTTTTTGAACGTGGCGCGTTACAAAGTAAAAGCGTTAATGCGTCGAAAGTAAACAGTTATGCGTCACAATGAAAAGCGCTCAGACACAGAAGGCGGGGGATTACCGTAATCCGGAATTTAATATCCGATATTACACACCCCGGCGAGAATATTTCTTTTGTACGAACTAGAGCCATAGTTTCCTATTACATTATATTCATGCGTTAATAGTTAAGACTTCAAAGGAGAAACAAGAGACTAATTGGGTAGTAGAAGACAAAAAAATCACGACTGTATAAAACAAACCGAGTTTCAATTGACTTAACCAACACGGTATAAACTTTTGGGGTTATAGATTGATCAAATACAGTCTATAGTTTACGCGTGTAGTGCACATTTAAATAAAACACTTTAACGGTTTAAAACGCGATAGTCTCCCCGTAACCACGGCGACTGCAAAGCATCCGAAACGCCGGGCCGTAGGCTAATAAACTAATATATATCGCGCTTAAACCCGTTAGTGTTTTATTTTTAGGTATAGATCGATAACAGAGGAGTGGATCGAAATTGAAATAGTCATTTTCTATAATGCTCTATATACTTGAATTGTAATCGATACCCAAGATATTTTGTATATTATGTACATAGTGAACAACACAAAAAAATATTTTATCATCGTCCTCTGTCTGTTATTAGCAAAATGTTTGAGTGTGTCTGCAACTCTTTTGCATTTCTAATCTAATTAACTTAAAACATGCTTTATTTCATATTCCACAGCTACGTCAGCATACAAAAGACAAAAGGCTCTAAACAATCCTACAGTGTGTCGAGGTCATATAAAATTAACTGCGTCATAATGCATTCTGCTATTTTGCGAAATACACAGTATTTCTTGCAGAACATATATTTTTATTTACAATTGCAGAATTTGGATAAATAGATTTCATTTTGACAGATAAAAGGAGGCACAAGTTTTTGTAAACAAAATGTATTCGGAATTCTCAACGTTTCTGCACGACGCCTTAACAATAAGAATATACAAACAATCAATTATCCTTAGTTATCCTGCATTTTTAATGCTTTCGTCTGTTGTGCTTGAAGATTTTTTTAATTCGTCGTGTTTAATAAATCAGCAATCTTATGATACGCCGGTAGCTCAATTGGTACAAGAGAACGATACAATGTGGTCATAAGTTCAACATCCACACGTGTCATGATTTTTTCCTAACAGAAAATTAATGGACGTATAACATATACGATGTGCATGAATATTGGAAAATAATATTTACATAATTACATTACACAAATAAGTTCTTAGACTTTTTTTATTGTAACAGGATTCTGATCTATCCGTATTCGAAACGACGATTCGTTTCGTTGGCGGTTTACTGTCCTGCTACGCGCTAACTGGCGACAGTATGTTCCGAGACAAGGCTGCTGAGGTAGCAGATGCGTTACTACCCGCTTTTGACACGCCAACTGGCTTACCTTGTGCTCTCATCAACCCTAGTAACAAGGTAAGTGATATTTTAAATTTGGAATATGAATCATATATATTATATATAATCTTAAGAATATATGGAGTATACAAAGGTTATCTATCTCAGTAGGTCAACTGCGTTATAGTATAAATAATTCACAACAATAACATTTAATAATTGCGCTACTAATAAATTCTTGTTGCTTTTATGTTTTGTCTCTTTTATTTCATTTCAAAACGACGTTTACGTAAAGAAGACAACATATTGAAGCAAGTATAAACTGTTCAAGTGATTTTTCGAATGCGGTGGCGCTTGCGCAAGAACAAACATCGCACACAGATACTAGGGTACCATACGTTTAAAGCGTTGCGTTTCCAATTTTACAGTATCATCCAATCTAGTGAGAGCTTCGCAGGTATCCAGCTGATATTCTTGGAGTATATTTTTTACATTCGTACAACAAATGGTTGGGACAGACTATGTATGTTTCACACCGATCTGTTCATACAAATTAAATATGGTGAAATTAATGTAAACTTTATAATAACTGATTTTGATATAAATAGAAACGTCTGGGTATAAAAAAATGTTTACATGTTTTAAATAAACTAAAACATAAGACACGTTTAAATGTACGGGATTGTGCACTGCGCATTTTCCAGATATTACGTCGTTGGGTACTAGCTTTATAAACTTTACTTCTTGCTTTGTTGTAGCGTATTAATAATTCTCTTAAATTGCCGTCAAACCTTAGTCTACTACAGACTTTAATACCCCCGGTATCTGTGCATACATAAATCACTGACTATATTATTTACAGAGCTCCGTTTAAGCTTTCCGAATGTTCCGATCCCGATTTAGTTGTCACCTCAAAGGCAGACTCGACTCGTTATCATTCGGGATACATACCTTATTAGCAAGTGACCCTTAAAGTTAGGGCTATTAGAAAGTCTAATCGTGTGCGTAAACCAGCCAAGTTGAAAGGTGATCAATTGGCACTGAGATACAATTAATACAAACTTTCAGGACGGACTGAAAAAAATCCCTTTCAAACGACCACCCCAAGGAAGATTAATTCGGTATTTGGGGATTTTGGTAGTCTATTCTTGTTTACCTAACTCTTAGAATAATAAACTGAAACTATATAATATATGCTAGGCAAAGCGTTATTCTATTGAGCCACGAAGACAAAGAGAAAGATATTCTATTCTATTCTATAGAAAAATCTTTCAAAACTTGATGTGATCTTAATATTTATTATTTTTGTATTTAATTATTAGTAATTTTAGTAAAATAAAAAAATGCCAAACAGTACATAGAATCGTTTCTAGTAAAAAGAGTCATGTATTACAAAGCAAAATTATCTATTTTACGTATTGTTCTACTTACGGTTAGTGGGACGAATCACGATCCGGATTAACACAAACAATATTGACATGAAACCTGCACAGATACGAAATGGCCTTAATTCTTAGAATTTAAATACGTTGCTTTTTAATGCGACTTATGTGAACGAAAAGAAAGGTAGTTAGTTTGAAAATGACTTACTTACGTTTCCTTATTAAATAATATACTTGTACAATTTTTTCGAGTTGTTTGTCCACTAGTGGCCTGAAATTGGCATTTTAAATTGTAAAGTTCTACTTTTATCTCGAGTAATTGTTCTTGAGATGTCTGTCGAATACAATGAAATTAACGAGCCTGAGAGAACAGAATATTGAATGAATTGAGAATATCGAAAACAATTAACCCAATTTACAATGATATTGTAAAATAACATCTTCCACTGTGTTGAATTATTGAACACGTTGCCAAGCAATGGTTTGAGCGGGTAGTCCTCTGGTGTGGTATACTCGTATGTATCATAATATACTAGCGTATATAGTTTCTGTTCGAATCGACTACCTTACATCGACCACCGAAATTTGTTTTTTTTTTATTCCATCTAATGGCCCTAACGCAACTTCGGCGGTTAAAAACATATAAAATTTATAAATATTATGCCCACACACTTAACAGACTATGGATATCACCGTAGTCTGGTAATTAGTCAAGCAACGAGTCAGCAGTGCCTCGGCAAGTAGGTTAGTCTTTTCAGCTGGGAAGCGAAACAGCGGAGGCTGATGGCATTTTCTGACGTATCTATATAGTGTCAGAAATCCTAAGACCTACTATCCCCTCCCCTCCCCCTATTATGTCCCCCCTATTAGTCCCACTAGGTACTTTCCGACTCACTCTCATACTCTTCCTACCCTTTGCTCGTTATATCCCACCATGAAACGAGTACAGCCCGTACTGAAACGTAATCCACTCAAGTTTTAATAACCAAAGTCAGTTACCAAACTAATCGTTCATTATTTGTTACACGTGTAATCTAACCGCAATGGTACACTAGCTTTCTTAAATAACTATACGTAATAGAGATAATGATATAGTATGATAACATTGTTATCTATGTTGCACTCTTGGCAAGTATTCGATATATATGAATGATAATAATAGACATTAATTTTTGCAATATTTAGTAACAGTCAGCGACCTTGATATCTCTATTAAGTATTGGAGTATAATGAAGGATGGCTTAAACCATTCCTCGGGAGGGGTGAAGTAAAATGTGTTAAAAAACGTGTTAAAAGATTAATTTTTGTTTAGATTTAAAAAAAATACAGTAATGCAAATGATAAAATGATCGGACGCTGCTGATAGCGTTGACACGCTTTGAACAACTTGCAGATAGTGGAAATTGGAAAAACCAAATTACGATTAGTTAATTATATACGGATTAAATTTATTAAGTGCATACACATCTTTTAAACTATAAGAACTTTTCTTGTCAACTACAAGTCTTATGAAGTAACAATTATGCTCATAACATGTACACAACTCAGACAGACGCTGAGATTTTAATATTTAATACAAAAAAAAGCAATTCTCCAGTGTTCTACAATGAGACTTACTCTCATACATTAGTACAAAACACTTCAACGTCAATTTTAGAATTAGAATACATCTCGTCAGACATCGTTAATCGTGATATTAAAATATTTTTAGAAGGCTATTCGCACTGAACGTTTAGAGTTTCCAGCTGTGAAAACTGAGATCATTACAAAAGTCTCAAAATAATTTGTCGATTTCAGGCGAGCCGACAATATCACTGGGCGGGTTCTAACAGCATCCTATCCGAAGTGGGGACTTTGCATCTTGAGTTTACGTACCTGAGTGATGTCACAGGCAAAAAAGGTATTCAATTGTATCATTGTTTAATGTCACACCTACTCGTATTAGCCCTTATCAATAGAAAGGAGAAGAGATTCTCTGTTCTACTAAATTCGAGTTCAGTCATCACTTACCGTAATACTTAAGAGAAACTAGAAAGAAGAACTAACTTCAAAGGAAAGGCGAGACTGATCACCCGGCCTTTATCCCTTATCCCTTTTAAGCTGAATAGCAAATGACAACTTGAAGGTGGTCTTGGCTATAAAACAATTTGAACCTAATTAAAAAAATATATTGTTTTTAAGTGTTAACTCTTAAAGTCATGGAGGATATAACCATACACTGAGTTAAAAACGCTTATCACGTTATTTTTCTTTTAAAGACAATATATTTTATACCAAAATTTAAGTATCTTAGATGAAATTTAATGTTTGTTATAGTTTACAGGGACAAAGCGAAACGCATCCGCGAAGTGCTCCACAATATACAGAAACCGGACGGCCTGTATCCTAACTATATCAACCCGAAGAGTGGACAATGGGGACAAAGTTAGTATTAAAAACATATATATGTTTAAGTTGTAACTAAATGTATTTCATATGAATTTAGGTTTTCAATACGGTTGTTTTCGTGGTTAGTTTAAAAAAAAAATGGTAAATACTTATAAATTAAAACGTCGGGCCGTAGTTAAAATAATTTTCAAATAAGTTTAACCAACATATATCGCGTTTTAAATCGTTACAGTGTTTTGTTTAGATGTGTACTAACGTAAACTACAGACAGTATTTACTTATAAATTGCAATTCGATTATAAACCCTTTGGCGTTTCTTGTTTTAAAGAATTAAGAACTGTTAGTTACACATTAGTAAAATTATCATTTGTGGCCAAACACTAAACATTTACCGACGTGGTGTTAAATAGTTATTACTTTGACGAACGGAAGTTCTATATCTTATCGTTCGGAATTTAAAGAAATGTATATAATGACTCTTTATATAAATACGAAGTAATTATAAGTAGGTACATGATACGGTATTTTTTGTAGTTCCATTAATATTATAATACATTGTAATAATCGAATGTATATTGACTTTTACCCAACTAATTATTACTTCATACATATTAGTTATTTTGACACGAGATATAGCAATATATGGTTAATTACTATAGTCCATTTCTTCTTAAAAGGCATTTTTGGTAAACAAACACACGATGTTCAAGAAATCGTGATTTTCTCACAAGGTTTACATTGATTTACACTAATAAAGGATTATATATTTAACTAAAGAACTACCTCACTTAGTAAAACTACAATTTCATGCTAAAATTAATGAAAATCCCAAAAATGTGTTTACGAAAATGCACAGATTAAAATTTCTTAAGTTTGACATTTACGTAAGGACGCGACGCAAGCAAAGTCAACGACAATAGAAGCGAGAAATCGAACTCGTAACTTTTATTAGAAACAAAAATAAAAGTAACACGATGTTATTTATTGTTTATTGAGACATAATACAACAATGAATTAAGTACAGATTTAATTGCTTTCCTCACTATCATTACTTGATTTCTCGGAGACGTGAATAATAAAGTAGTTTACGCGAGTAGTAGGTATAATAAAATTTCTCTTTATAGGGCATATGTCACTGGGTGCACTGGGCGATTCCTTCTACGAGTACCTGCTAAAATCCTGGCTTGTCTCCAACAACGAGGATGAAGAAGCGCGTGTAATGTTCGATGAGGCTATGCAAGCTGCACTGGACAAGATGCTGCGGGTATCAACTACGGGGCTTGCTTATCTTGCCGAGTTGAAATACGGCAGGATATTCGAAGAGAAGATGGACCACTTGTCGTGCTTCGCCGGTATCTATCTTGCTTATATGGAGACAGTTAAAATAGTAAAGTTCAACGATTTCTTTATATTGTACGGCTAATAAACGGGTCGTGGCTTCTATCCCCACCCAACATTTTTCTAATTAATTTATAATTTTTCTGTGTCATATTCCAGGTGGTATGTTTGCGATGGCATCGACAAGTCTCAAGAACTCCCTCTCCAAGCGATACATGGACGTCGCCCGCAATCTGACGCACACCTGTCACGAAAGCTACGACAGATCTGACACTAAATTGGGCCCGGAAGCGTTCAGGTAAAAACCAGATTCGTCTTCTTAATACAGACTTTGAAGGCCACTAAAAATATTTTACCTTAACGCTACAACATAGTACTTTGATATAATATAAAAAAAGTAAATAAAAAAAACAAACGGAACTCGACTTCGAGAAAGACGGCGTATCTTGCTTTCTAATTATTAATATAAGCATATGAGCGTGTCAATGCAAATATTACAATTGAAATGTCAAACTGTATCGCTTGTGTTAGCTTGGCCTCTCATGGTGCCACAGGAGATCAGTGTTGGGACATTAATCTCAACGTAGCTGCGTGGACTGTCTTTTCAGAGGCAACTGTATTATTTTATATGTCTTTAGTAATTTAATATTGTACTTGTAACTATTATATCATGTTTGTAGAATTAGTTTATTTATTGTAAATTTTGTGTTATTTTTTGCATAATTTGCGAATTGACTAGTTGTCAAGCTCGCTTCCTAGTTTTGGGCATTTAGTTTAACATCCACGACAACATATGCAACAGATCTTTGTTATAGATAAATCAAACACTATTTAAAACGGTTCTACTGCTTTTATATAAAATTTCTTGAAAATGTTAGGTTCTCCGGTGCTGTGGAGGCTCGTGCAATGAAGAGCAATGAGAAAATGTACCTTTTGCGGCCCGAGACGTTCGAGAGTTACTTCATCATGTGGCGGCTGACCAAGGAGCAGAAGTACCGTGACTGGGCTTGGGAAGCAGTTCAGGTAAATAAGGGTTAATAAAATTGTGTGCCTCATGTTTTACTCTGGGGGGGGGGGTTCTTTTTTCTTTTTTGTTCATCTTCCCTATGGGAATAGTGTAGTCTAGCTATTAAATATAACAATTAAAGCTAAATATCTTATTTGGCTAGTTTTACTCTTACTTAACTAATGTTTCATGGTGGCAAAAAAATATTATTTTGTTTCGTATTTTAATTTGAAAACTCATATTTCATATTTCTTACAGTTACTTATCATTTGTCCTAATCGATTACACTAGCTATAAGTACAACAACAAGTTTAAACAATTAATATTGCAGGCTTTGGAGAAGCACTGTCGAGTGGAGGGCGGTTACACGGGCATTTCGAATGTGTACCACGGGACACCTGTCGGCGACGATGTTCAACAGAGCTTTTTCTTAGCTGAAACTCTGAAGGTAGTTATTTTTTTGACAAAAATAATAGACACCAATACTTAATCCATATACTTATCAGCGACAATCCTAGCATTATACAATCAACTAAGGTTCACCCTGCAATCCTGCTTTGTCCAATATATTTTTTGTCAGTTCAGACACGTCTGGTTTTTTTTATAACTATCACAGAGGCCATTTACCTTCCTTCTAGAATACTGGCATAATAACAGGGTCTATGCGCCATGTCTGTACATTTTTTTTTTATATCAAATATAATAAAAGTGTAATCCCTTTCCCCCCTCTCGTGGGGTATGGGTCGAACACATTTTTGCGTCCGTTTCAGTGATGAGATTTATTTAAAGAGAAGTATCAGATCAAGAAGTTGATAGGACTTCTGAGCCCTGGCCAATAGAAACTATTTATTGTTTTCCCGGGATTGGAACTCGGGACTTATCGCGCTTAACGCAATGCGCTTAACCTGCTACAGAGGCGGTCAGATGTGATATAGGACTTGCATTTAACTTGTCATAAAAACATTATTATACCTAGTATCAATAGGTGTAGATGAATTTAATTTGGTTTTCTCTCTTTCAGTACCTGTACCTGATTTTCTCAGATGACTCCCTACTGTCCATGGACGAGTGGGTGTTCAACACGGAAGCTCATCCACTGCCTGTTAAAGACAAAAACCCTCTGTATCGGCTCGCTTACAAATCTATAGACAACAACAGCGTCTAATATTATTACAATTTTAGCCAAATTTAATTTCTGTTCTTGAATGGAGCTAGGTTTCAATCAATGGCAATCCCTTTATAAGGACTGTGTTTAAAATCAAGATACAAATAGTCGAGTAATTAAATTCCGAATTATGATTTTGTTCATCGCATTATAACAAAGCGAAACGTTTAAAACAATTTTAACGGATTGAAATGCGATGATAGGTCGAATTATTTGAACTGCGACCCGACGTTTGGGTGCTCTTTGGCAGCCATGTATTCGAAACTTACTGTAGAATATTGAAACGTCAGGCTGTTGTTTTAATGATATGTATAGAAATATGTTTTATTTGAAATGTTAGGGTTTCTTTAACTTCACAAAATAATGAAATTAAGATCTGCCATAAGGTAACAAGAAATACTTGGCGTATAAAATGCATAGCATTCTTGCGCTGTATAATTATAAATTTGTGATGCCGTTTACTTTTCTTCCACTAATCTAAGTTACGAAGTCAATAGATAGGGGCTTATTTTAATGGATCTATTTTTTTCTCTAAGTAAATAATAGACGCAATATAAAACGTAGTTGTGTGCGTGAACGATAGATAGTGATAGTTTTGTAATATTTATTTTAAAATTAATCATATTTAATTGTTTGTTGAATGTGTGATTATGATATATACGTAAATACGTACTTCTTTGCGGACACAACTATGACGACACGTGGGATTCCTGGAAAAATAATATTGTGTACGACTAACCGCACTTAACGTAACACATACAAATACATTGCAATGCTTTAGCGTTACTGAAAGGTTCGTTATAAATCGGCATAGTTGTGCCCGGAAGAAACTAGCTAATGTTGAGCTGTAGCTAGTAAGACATCAATTTAATAAATTCACGACAAATTTTTTATGTCAAATCACTTCTCAAAAGTCACTTGACATCAAAAATATATTTAAGAACTGCAAACCTACTTTAAAAACTTGAAAACCAGTTTCAACCTTAGTTTAATTAGTATGTTAGATAATAATTGATTATTTATTTGATTACCTTATGCATTTTTCATATTTATAATACTTAGTGTTTATTTTTTATACGAAACGATAACATATCACAAAATAAGATGGCATTCGTTAATATTTTATTACTTTATACATATTCTGTTGTAATACTTGACTGGGGCACCATCTTTTTAAAATAGAAGTTTAGCTAGACAATTTCCTACTGAAAGAACCTGAATGGTTTAATAAAGACATATTTTTGGATCTTAAAATATGATACTCAATTATATCTTCACCTTATTCTTCGTCATATTCAAGACCTTTTCATTCCTTTCGGAAAGATAACGGTAACTGTCTTAACTTATGACTGTTAATTAAATAGTTTAACTAAAACCATGTTGTCCTTATCACACAAATCACATTTTAGTTTTGGTGGAAGAAGACAACAATAACCATATTAATATTTTATATGAGACATTATATATATGCTCCAAATTAGTCCTAGAACATTGTTTATTCCAAGTAATTTATTATGTATTAGATGTATAAATAATTAAAGTGTATCGTTAGCGTTTATCGTATTTCAGCTGACCGTTCCTATTGAATAAAAAAAAATTATGAAAGGGATCTATAAATTACGTCACAGAAATGAGAGGAATAACCTTTCGTGACGTCACTTAAAAAAATAGTACAATGTTAATTTGACACGGTAGTCCATTTGCTTAGGATAGAAGCACGGGTCGCTATGGACACCGTCTTAAGTCCCGCCCATGTTTTTAATTTTTTTTAATCTAAATATTTACGATATTAATTCAAAATACGTTACACCACCCGGAAAAAAAATCTGTGACGTTATTTAATGATAGGCCCCAAGTGAATAACGAATCCAAAAAACATATCCCTTCATATATATAGATCTAAAAATCTTGACTTTCCGATATAACGCAGCTGTAAATACAATGAATGTAGCATAAACACATTTCTAATATAAATAATCCACTATAGTCTTGAATGTAGTTGTCATAGACAATTATAATAATGTGTACATTGTGTATATAATATAGGATGAGTTTGGTAGTCTGTATTTAGTATTTCGCAGAGGAATAGTAAAATTTTATACTTATATAATAGCTATCCTTACCTGTTATTTTTATTAATATTATAATTAACACCAATCTTTTAATTTTAAATATAGTGTTTGTTCTTGACATCAAAAAGTTCAAATTTAGCGGGAAACAAACCTTATTTGTTACATCTTTTCTCTATGACAGTTTTACTATTTCTCCGCGATATTTTATTGTGAGCGTGCGTAAGAATGTCGATATTATTGATTTGCTTAAATTACTTAAATTCTGCAAAGTATAAAACATAAGTAACGTTGCGAATATGATGCAAAAAAATACTTCTAAATAACGTAAAGGCCTATTTGTAACAATAATCAATTTTATATGTTTCTCTACAAACCATGTCGTGTATTCCGATTATATTTTTACTTATTGAATTAAATTCCTATGTTTTATCTTACATCGAAAATAGAATATGAATCCGTTGTAAAATTTAAAACGATAGCGATAGACATAGGGAAGTGTAATTTAAACTGCCGTCTTTGTTGTTGTTTCTTTTAGAACTAAGTATTCTCATTGAACCCATTTGGACGTTAACAGAACGAAAGACTGCTTCAAATTATTCTTTCTAAACATAAAAGTTGACGATTGTGCTTACAAAGAAGAATTATACCTTTCAGCATTCCTTGTGTAAAACTACGTTTGTCGTAACGATGTCTTGCAAAGTATGTAACAGATAGATTTAACATTATCAATATGAATAACAAGCAGATATTCTCCATATTTAATAAAGGAAATCATATTTCCTACTAACTAACCTCAATATTAATAATTACTCATGTTAAACGTTTCTATACGACACGTTTTCTTATAGATTTATTTCAGCAAAATACTTTACAATTTCTTAAGTATAACCTCAATTAAAAGACAATTATTAAATCCCTAAATGTGTATTATTCAGTTTTTTAAACTGCTTGTTATTGTGTTTATATATTACGAAGTTGTAGACATAATATTGTACATTTTCGTTTATTAATAAAATGTTTATAAAATATAAAGGAAACTGTTTTAATCTCAAAAATGTCTTAGACAGACCGATAATTATACGTTTTTATAGAAAATCGTATTTAGTGGGTTTACATTTTCTCCATGAGTAGTAGAAAGATTCGAGCATATGAGTTTTTATTTGATTTAATAGATTGTTTTTTGATTGACCGCGCTCATGTCGTGTTTCAGGAAATACTACTACTAATGTATGTTTTTGAATATCTACGGTGAATCTACGAAAATAACATCATTAAGGGAAGCACCAGGCAAAGGCAGTCGTAAAGAGGACATCGACTCAGCCCATGGAAATGTCGCGACATGATTGCCCGTCTAGCATTTCAGTGCTAAACAACCAATTAGGGAGGAAACGCTTTACCTTACATAGATCTATATGGATATACAAGAGGGATATTATGGGTAATCTTTGTGGAAATAAAACCGTTTAGCTAATATTTTTTACAACTAGTAACGCAGTAACCTAAGTGGTGACGTACCTAACGTAGTAGCTCAATTCGTTAGGCCAGCAGCACGGAACGCTGTCGATGCCGGTTCATGTCCCGCCGCGGCAGGTGTGACGTACCTAATATTTTTTTCATTCTGAACAGATTTTTAATTTAAAATACTTTTTATTGGCTACAATTACTAAAACGCTTAGATAGTTTTCCCTTCAGTACCTTATTAGGTACTTATGTGGAAATATAAATGTAGCATTAATCATTTTATTTACACATAATTTATCCATAAATGATAAATGAACGAGAGATGTCAACTAGTTGAGATTGTAACAATTTGAACCATCAAACTACAAACTATAATAAGTACATTATGATATGAGTAGAATCGTTATTCTACTCATCATAACTCAAATCTTAATCTAACTTCTTTTAAATTGCTCGACAAGGTGAAATTAACGATATTGAAAATATATTAAAAGGTCCAGTTTTTTTACATATTCATTAAATTAACTCTTGAACAATAAAATGTTACCACTAAAGTGTACTTGAAAAAGGCAAACTTCAAATCACATCGTGAATTAACACAAAGCTTCATTAAAAAGCCTTTGCACCCAAGTAAACCAAATATTGTTTCAATTAGTTCAGCGAAGACGATTTTCTTTATGGGGCAGACGCTCCCTGTCCCATTTGTGACATCATAAAGGGTGGTGGGGTTGCTCCGAAACCTTCAGGAGTGAGACGCGCTGAAATCACAACGTGCCTGTCTGCCAGGAACGCGCCAACAAACCGCGGCTTCCACAATACCTTCGCTTATAATGCAATAATTTAAGCAATATTAGTTTAATTAGAGATTTGTGAAAAACGACTAGTTTTCAACTAGTACCGCCGCTGCAATGAAGATAATATTAATATTGGTTGCAGTTTTCTGTACGGGTAAGTTTATAAGTACTATTAATAGAGATGCCTGGAAACAATATCGAGAACGTTTATATTATATTTTTTTTAAGAAAATCAAGTTATCTACGCAATCGGGCACATTAGATGCTTAGAGAGTTTTCGTAATCTTACCAAATTATTATATTAAAAATAAAGATTAAATTTAACACTTACTTAAGTTAGGTGTACCAATCAGAAGCATTAGGTAAGTAAATGTAAAACAACTGACAGTGTATTTATTTCATTTCAGTCATTTTCAAAATGTATAAGTATTGATACAATATCCAAGTAGTTCGTAATTATTCGAATTATTAAAATGAAAAAGAATAATATTGATAATGAGAACAGTAAAAATACTACTTCATAGGTAGTACGACTTTCTTAGAAATTTCATACGGTAGGTTTAAAATTAATGAACAATAAGTAAAATTTAGCTTTTCTTGTCATGCTGAGACAAATAAAGTTTCATCACAATCTACAAGGAACTAAATCAAATTGATGTAAATGTACGGACGT